ATGTCCCGACCAAAGTTGCTGACAGATGACTTTGCCGTGGTAGAAATTGTATGAAAAATTCATTTTATCCCACTGTGAAAAGGGCACAGATGGAAATAGGATTTCACGGGCGCGTAGTTTAAAGGAGCATGCTGGTTCAGCTATTGTTCCATTGAGGCTTCTATATTTCGAAAAACCGCCTTTTCGCCTGTACTGAACTTACATTTTCGGCAGCCCCAAGTCTGTCCTATCTCGTATCCGAAGTCCGTCGAAGCAGTATCTGCTACTGCTTTCTGCTTATGTATCGGATGATGGATCCGCGACGGATCTCGAAACGTCAGGCAAATAAAAGTACTGTCCCAGCAATGGAGTCGTCTTCTTCTCAGATCAAAGAATGTTGGATTTTGCAGTTTCAGAAACTCCCCATTTAGCTTGTGTCTAGTGGACGGAATAGGATTACTTCAACGAGAAAACCTCTCGACTGTTATGTCTGTTTTGGTTTTAACAAGCTGGTCCTCCAGTTCCTTTTCTCTCTCCCGGTTTCTCAGGAAGGAGTTCTGTGACCTAAAAGAGGGGCAGGCATTCGATGAAGCCATAATTCCATCCCTATTAAGCTTCGCAATGATTTTGCTTTGTAGACACCTTTACCACCTAGATTCACACCTTTAGGGTCCAATGGCAATATTTGACACCGGATGTGGATCACAGAACAGTCGTTATGCTGCAAATGAACGCCACATACCGGGCTGCCAACAACCGAAGGCATATAGTACGTGTGGCTGGCGTCAGGCTGGAAAAACGCACTTTACTCAGCGGGGCGGCTGAAGATTGGAATGCTTCGCTTGAGGCTATTGTTATATCTGCATTCGTAAAAAGTTTTATCAGGAAGCTGTGTCAGTATTGCAGTCCGCACCACAATGCCATCCGGCCACAGTCATCTTGATGCCTTGTGAGACATATTATGGCTCTTGTGATACTACTTTAAATACTTAAGTAACGGCTGTTTATAGAATTAACTAATGTCTGCAACCTAGCACATATGCCTACTGACTCAACAATGTTCTTGAAGACCATTGAGATCGTACTGTTTTCGCTATAAGCTATATGTGTCTTAACTAATTACGGCAACACGCGTTTATGCATACGTGTCTGTCAAAATGGCCATGTCTTCAAATTTTTCTTCTGTCCAGTTTTTGATATTCCCTTTATTTAATGTTCCCTTTTCCGACTTTTCGATTTCCTTCCGCTGCGTGCAGCATAGCCTAGTCTGGGTTTTAACGTGGCTAACTGACGAAAGCAAATGAAATCTTAAAAGACCGATTTTGCTCTCTCGTCCTAATCAGTGACGATTCCCGATAACTGCCGTTTCACGCCTATGCGACCAGATGCGACAGTTCTAAAAGAAAACTATAAAACAAGACATACTTTCCATTTTTGATCCCATTTTTGAACGATATTTGACATACTTCACCAGTGTTCCGATTTCCTATGGGCTCTTGTAAGTATTAGACTGAGTATTTGTCATCCCTTCTAGAGACGGTGACAGATGCGACACTAATTGGGC